TCACTGACGGAGAACTAGGTTCAAGTCTCATGTTGGGTCAGCAGCAAGCCCACAACTTCACAGAGTCTGGAGGGTTCTCAGGTTTTGCTACAGAACCTCTCATCTTCTCCAAAATGTTGTTTCCATTATGCTACTGTCATTCTCAAGGGCTCCCAAGACCTAAGGTAAGGCCCCAGTGTCTGCACAGTCCCATCCTGACAGCTGGGCCTCCTGCCCATCCCTGAGAGAGCCTGTCCTCTCTGGCTACCAGGCCCCTCACTGTCCCTGAAACGCCACCACTGTCATTCCTACCAGTTGTGTCTTTGCAGGAGCCAGTACCTCCCTCTATTTCCTCCTCCCTACTTCTTGAAGGTTACCCACCCTTCAAACTCCATATGCACTTGACCCACTTCATGAAGTACCATTGCACAGAGTTCCCACCTCCCTTGGCACCTCTAGGACCCTGGCATCTGCCCCCATCCAGTGTTGGACCATGTGTGACCTTTGACATGTCTTATGTTAATATTCTAATTAGGTGACACAGCTGATCTTCTTAACTGGGTTGAAAGCTCCTCCAGAGGAAAACCTGGTATGATGCTACACACACACACACACACACACACACACACACACACACACATACACACACACAAGCTTCCAATGCATATTTAAGGGATAAATATTGGAGTGTATGCTTTGGGGTCCCTGACTAAAGAAAGTGAAAGCTGATGACCAAGAGAGTGTCACCTCACTCACCAGAAGGGAAAAATTCCTGCAAAGTTAACTGAGCGTATTGGTGTGAATAATATCCTTCATGTCATACCGGTTATACATCATCTATGTTACATATGTATCTAAAGGTGAAGGTCATTTAAGTGGGAAAAATCTGTCTAAGATTAAAAGCAAAAGTCATTTAAAAATTAAAATAACCTATAAGCAGAACATAACCAACAATACAAAGATGCAAGGAAAATAAGACCAGCAACACTGAAAGGAAAAGAAATCAACAGAGACAAGAGGGAAGGAGGGAGGAGGGGCAGGGAAAAGGAAGGGAAGGGGAAAGTCAAGGAACATATAGCAAGGACTCATGGACAAAACCAAAGGGGAAGAGCTGAGGGAGGGAAGGAGGGAGGGGGCAAGGGAAAGTGGTGGAGGGGGGGAGACTGAGACAAATGTATTTGAAAAAATAAATTAAAATAAAATTTAAAAAAAAATTCCTAGAAAAAAATTAAAATAAAAAATAAAATAAATTTAAAAACTTCAGAATACAGTAAATGTTTTTCAATAACCTATTAAAAGAAAAATAGTAATTTTCTGCCCTGGCTGGTGTGGCTCAGTGGATTGAGTGCCACCTGCAAACCAAAGTGTCGCCGGTTTGATTCTCAGTCTAGGGCACATGACTGGGTTGCAGGCCAGGTTCCCAGTAGGGGGCACATGAGAGGCAACTACACATTGATGTTTCTCTCCCTCTCCTCCCTCCCTTCCCCTCTCTAAAAATAAATAAATAAAATCTTTTTTTAAAAAAGAAAAATAGTAATTCTCTAAAAAACAATCTTATTACCCAAAATGAGTCACAAAGAATGAACTTTGTGGTGAGTTAACATTTTGGGGAGCTGTATCTACATGAGGAGAAAACAAGACTGTACTTGCCCCTGTGGCCCAGCAGCCTCTCATGGCCCTTCACCTGCTTTGAGAGCAGCACCAGCTACTTTGGCCATGGTTGTTAAGCACCCCAGGCAAGGCTATGTCTGAGAGCGTGTTGCTCTCCCTGTAGGATGTTCCTACCCATCTCAGGGTTTCTTCTGCATGAGGCAATGAGGAAACAGTGCAGAAACGTGCCTGGCTGAAGATTTGTTTTTGTTTTTTCATTTTGACTCCAGCTCCAGGCGTAGTCACGGACAGGCATGACAAGTGGACACAGGTGTTTGGGGACTGCCCCTTTGTGTGGGAGAGGAATCTGGGAGAGAAAAAGGACAATGGGTAGATGCACCAGCTAAGCCAGATGTGAGACTAGAAGAGGACCTTCCTCTTCCCATTGTCACTTGGACCCTCTTCCTTCTCTGTACTTGAATTCTCACATTTCCACCTGTGAGCCAGCTAGTGGATGTCCCTTTACCCAGGACTCTGCAGCAGGAGACCTTGCAAGGCACCAAGATCAATAGATACCAGGGCCTGACTCAGCCCCTCTTTCTGCCTCTCTCTCACCATTCACAGGGGAAGGGGGGATGCAAAGGAATAGAAACAAATATGAATAACTAATTCTAAGGAATAAAAGTCTTGCCATCTTTCCAAGCATTCCTTCCAACTCTTAAAGCACTTAGAGACTACCATTTAGTGTTAAATTCTTTTCTATGTTGGGTCACTTATTATTTATTCATTAATTTTCCCCTTCAATGGATCAAGTTTAACTTCCTTGAGGTCAGAGAATGACACAATTTTAGTACCATTTCCCCCCACCACCTTCTATGTCTAGTACATTTTTTATTTCATTAAGTGTATTAATTTTGAGTGTATTAAAATGAGCTAGGAATATGTCAGTTTGTCCCAAATATGTAATATTTGTTGACGAGAACAGTTCTAGGAGAGATTCTTGGCATTGATATGCTTCTTTTGAAAGATGGGGAAATCCAGGCTCACTCAAAAGTAACTACTAGAATATGAGGACTGAGGCTGTGTCCAGGCTGTTCCCTGGGGTTTTTTGACAGTTCAAGAGAGGGCATTAGAATTGGGTGGAGCTTGGCGTCCATTGTCCAAAACTGCCTGGTGATAGCCCCTGGAGCCAAAACAAGGTGAGTCTGTGTGTCTCAGGGGAAATCCAGTTCAAAGTTCTATCAGGTGAGGACTACGCCAGGAGCCTGCATCACAGACACCTGCAGGCCATTCCCCTCAAGGAAGAATGGGATGCCTGGACTCTGTGCAGGATGACTGGTGACAGTGAAGCAGTGACTCTGGAGTCAGGGTGAGTGTGCAGAGAGTGACACCATTTGTCCTTTTTGACAGAGGTCCAGGACACCTGATTATATCAGAGGCTGCCACATTCACCCCAGTAGCAGTGACTGAGACTGGCAGCCTGCAGGACCTTAGAGGTGCTAGAGAACCTGGCAATGTTCTATTTTGACCAGTTTGGTCATAACTAAAGCTTTTCCAAACTTGACACCAACAAGAATAAATAGGAATCTTCTCCAAGGGAATGCATTACAATTTTCTAATGTATAACCTATGCCATGACCCCTGCATGAGGCCCTCCATTCCCCGATTAAGTCAGTATGAATGGGGATTTGCTCTTGAAGTTTGCACTCAATTTGTGGTCAGGGGCATCTCTCCTTGCATTCTGCTTGTCTTTTCCACACCTGTCAAAAAACACAGGGCAGAGACTGCAACAGGCAAAGGAGAGCAGCAGCCAGTCATGCCTGCAAAACCCCTTCTCCCAGGCTCCCAGCAAAGAGTGGCAACATCAGTTTCATGCAAATCTCCTATTTCCTTCCCCTTATCTTCGTATCTTTCCTTGAAGAGCATTCTGCAGGGGAGAAGAACACACCACACACCTTCCCAGAAGTCCACTGTTGCTTAAGTTTGGACAAGATTTTAATCCCCCACCCCGCCCCCTTCACTCTAAAGAAACTGTGATGTGTATCTGTACCCGTGTCACCTTCAGAGTCTCCCTGTCCCTTCCGATTTATTTAGATAACAAATGACTCATTGGTGTTGCTCTGCTATTCTGGGGATGGGGGGTGGTGGTAGGGGTGGGTAGGCTTTAAGTTCTTTCATTCTGGAAGGGAGGGGAGGAAGTAGGGAGGCTGCGAGGCTCTGAGGCTGGAAGTGTGCGTGGCACCTGGGAATGGGAGCACTCGGTGGCCGCCAGGGTGGGTGGGGACGCCCAGCCTACAACTTCAATTCTGCACCCCAAGACCCTGGTTCGAATCCTCAGACCCTGCAGTCCCTCAGGCTGGCGCTGAATTCCCCGTCTTTCTTCTTCGCTCTGCCCCTCTCAAATTGTTTCCGACTCCAAATTCCTATCTGGATCCTGCAAAGTAATTGAGCTGCTTCCTAGAGGCTCTCTGTTATCCCCAAATTCCCTCGGAGATGAACCTGTGCTTACGGTCCAAGAGCAGCCTTCCGTTCCCTAAAGGGCACCTTAGAACATAGGTGTTGCCAGAACGGCCATGTGCCCGCTGTGCTGGTGATGTATTTGTATCAGTTGCTTTATTGGAAAGGAGGTCGCACTATCAGGAGGCGATGGTAGTGGGTCCCTGAAGCCAGGGCGCGGGGCAGGCGGGGGCGGGGCGCGTGGCATTTAAGGCGCTGCAGCGTCCCGGGCTAGCGACTGCCCTCGGCCACCCAGGAGCGCACAGGTGCGCTCTGCCGCTCGCTCCAGGACCCGACCAGCTCCAATACCCGAGCCAGCCATAGCCCGGACTCGGGCCCGCCCACCGCTTCATGGGCCAGGTGCGTGCAGCCCGACCCAGGGCCGGTAGGGAGGTGCGGGATGTTGAGGGCCGCCTGCATCCCGCGCGCTCCGGCCTCGGAGCCGCTCCCCTCTCCGTCCCACCCCAAGCCCTCAGTCTGAGCTGGGCCTCCGCTGGAGACGATCCAGACCCAGAGGCAGGGAGGCGCTGGGGTCCCAGGGCAGCCCCTATTTGGAGGGTGGTACCGGGCTGGTCTTACACGGATGGACGACCGTGCGTAAGGTGTGCCCTGCCTGGGACTAAAGTTCATGAGCTCAGTGGACACACCCCAACCCAAGAAACAGGAGAGCAGCGCGCACCCCCACCCCAAAAAGTGGAATAGTAAGCCCCCTCTACCCAAGAAATAGGAAACAAGGTACTAGGGAGACCTCACGGCTCCTTGGAGGGGTGTTCTTTCTAGGTGGGAAAATCACATCCCATCTTTCCTCCTATCCAGGCTGCCCTTCACACAGGGGGAGAGGGAGGCGGAGGGAAGAAAGGGCTGGGGAGCTGCTGTTTGAAGGTGGAGGAACCTCCCCACAGTCCTACTCCTTCCTTTCTCTAGGGGAGGGGATGATGGGGGGAGCAGTCCCTGACTCTCAGGGGAGGATCAGAAAACCCATCTGGGGCTAACACTGCACATCTGCTTCTTCAGAAAACACCCCAAATTTACTCTGTGGAGCTCAATGGCGCTAAAGACATGGAGCAAACAGACAAGGGAGATGTCAATAAGAAGTACAGGGGTCTACTGGACAACTGCTTGGAACTCAGAAAGAATCACCAAAAAGAGGAGCTGAGGAAAGAAATTGATCTGGTCAGTGGACTGGGCCCTGAAGTCAAAGGGGCCCACTGAGTACTGCCCATCTCCCTGGGAAGCTTACAGGGAGCTTGTCCCTATAACCTGCCTTTTCCAAAAGAAAAAGCAGTCTCAAGGGTTTGAATTTCTCTGTAAGATTGCTTCCTTGTTTTTTATTTTTTATTTTTTTTAAAAAAAGGAGTAAAAGAAACGTATGATACTATTTGCCCAGGGGTCAGGCCTCTGCAGGATTCCTGAATTCTGGCTGTAGGCATTCCCAGGTGGGACTCAAAAAAGGGTCTGCGATCCCAGTCCCCACAGATTTGACCCAGACCACTCTCCTGCTGTCTACTTCAGTGAGATATAAGTCACTATTTGCCAGTTTCTAGCTGATAAAGTTAAACTATTTGAGACTTACTAGGTTTCTAGTATATATCCCCCATGAGAAGGTGATAAGACTGATGGACTTGGAGTCAGATGACCTTACACCCCATTAAAGTTCTGCTTCAACCTATAACTGGGAAAAACTACCTAGTTTCATGTAAGCTCCATTTTCTTTAGGTAAAATGGGAAATAAACAGTTTGCATGGGTCTGTGAGTAGGAAAAGTGAGAAAAGAATAAGATTATTTTGTAATTAATGTACTTTATGGAAGTGCAATATTATTACAATTGAGGAAGGACTTTGACCATGGGAAAGGGCTGCCTCAGAACTGAAATATGACATTTTGTCTTAGAAATGCCAAAGAGGAAGCTTCTACACTCAAGTTCATTGCAGACTTTAAAGCCCTGTGATTGTTGGAGCAGACGGTAGTGGTATAGGCTCCTGATGGCTAGAGAGCCAGTGGATAAATATTCAGGAATTTGACAAGCTGACTGACATCCTGACATTCCATTAATAGCTTGAAGTTTGGTTATGGTGAGAAATGATCAGATGCTACACTTCAGGGTTTCCTGTTTCTCCTGAAGAGCTAGTGAAACTTGGAGTAGCACACTAAGCATTTGTTTGTATATATCCTGATAGACATTTAAAAACACTTGAAAAAAGACTTGAAGTTGGACTGACCTGAACTCAAATCCAACTTTGACTGAAGCTGTTTCGTATTCTGAAAAATGGGAATGAAAAAGGGTGCCTACCACTTAGACTTGTGGAGACTGTTCAATGAAATATAGCAGGAGGAAGACTTTGAACAGTATCAATCGATAGTCATTCTTATTGCCTGTGTGTCTCTAGAATTCAGGATTAAAAACATACCTAGTCTTCCTTGAAATTGCTACATACAACATGAAAATATGTCCATTCTGTCATCTGCCTGTTTATTAACATGAGAATCTGTTTTCTTGAGCATTTTGCATAGATGTGTAATACAAAAACATAACTTCCTTGAGATTAGTCTATGTTCCCCCACTTCCCAATAATTCTGTAATTTGGACAATGAGCTTAGATGCTCTTACACTCTGGCTTCTCCAGCAAATCAGAACCTTGATGAGAGCCAAAGCAGCCTGGCTTTTGAATAAACCCGAGCCCAGCCCAGGGTGTTGCCCTGTGCTGTTCCAGTTATGGCCAGCAGAGTGCGTTCCAGCCACCATCCCTTGCCTAGCTGCATCATCCTCACCCCTAAAGCCAAGACCAAGGGGAGGAGGACAGGTGCTCAGCCGCCCAGTGCAGCCACTTGCAGCCCAGACCCATCCATGCAAAGAGTGGCTTTATACATTTGTTGCCTCTTTCGTGTACCAGCCTAGAGCTTAGCACACAGTGCACAGAACTGTGTCCTAATTCTTTTTTTAAAAATATTTTATTTATTTTTACAGAGAAGAGAAGGGAGGGAGAAAGAGAGGAAGAGAAACATTGATGTGTGAGAGAAACGGCATTTGGTTGCCTCTCACATGCCCCCAACTAGGGACCTGGCCCGCAACCCAGGCATGTTCCTTCACTAGGAATCAAAGCAGTGACCTTTCGGTTCACAGGCCAGCACTCAATCCACTGAGCCCCACCAGCCAGGGCAACGTGTCTTAATTCTTTGAATCCCTGGCAATGTCATCTTCAATTGATGAAAGAATGAGCAAAGCAGATTCTGGCTGAAGAAAAGGCAAGAAAAAATTATTTAATCATGAAGTCTATATTCTTATCAGGTTGCTTTTTGCATACACTTAAGAGAAGAGGTGGCTTTGGTCCCTGTAACAGTATAAATCTTTGTTCTGGATGGTCAGAGCATAAAGACTCTGACCCGAGTCTGAGAGAGGTGCTGGTGGGTGGAAGGCCTTATAACAGAGTTATTGGTCCACAATGTCAGTGATGCCCAGGTTGAGAATCGCTGCCTGAGTCTAATGATCCTGTGGCAAAATTAGTGAGTTCAGGCCATACTGGTATTATACGGCAGGTTTTTTAAGTACATGGTGTCTGTAATCAGTGACCTACCTGAGTCTCAAGTACTTGAATAAGGAAAGTCATGCATGGGTTCTGAATTGTCATGATGTGTGATATGGGGTTGCTTGACATTGCTTATCATTCTCCACTGATCCCACATTTACATGTGAGTTAGCACCTTGATGCCATGTAGACTCAGACCTGAATGTACTGGAGCTCAGACTGAGGTGGAATGCATTGCTTTGTTCATAAAAACTATGTGGTAAATGACAAATTGAGTCTGAACTCTTCTGGGGTGGCCAGAAAGTCCCCTGAATCAGGACAAGCCTCTTCTGTAGAAGGACCCTCTGTTCCTTCTTTGCAATAGCCACTTGGCACCTAGGGCTCTGTCTCTTACTCCTATACTTTCTAGCCCCTCTCCCATCACCTGTGCTACTCCCAGCACCCATGGAGCTTGCCAGAGATTTGAGCTTGAGTCTTTGGAATAACCTAATTCATTCTGTTCTTCTCTTCATGGATTACAGGATGACCACAAGCTCAGCAATAAGGAATTGGAAAATAAATATCATACAAATATCATTACGGTAAGTCATAAGGGAACTCAGATCGGGAGGAACAGCCCTGTTACTGTAAGGCAAAAGGTGTGTGGGAAAGTAGTTGGCAACTTCAGGATGAGTGACTTATAATATCAATGTTGAGAACGTCTTGGTGGGTGACAGAGGGTGGCTGACATCAGGAGCTGGTGTTCTGAACCAAGGCCCTGGTCAAGATCCTCAGCTAAGCTGTATACTGACTATACAGTTCTTCTGACTGACTCCACCAAAGGGTCAGAAGCTTGCTCATTGTCATGGTCAGAGTTTATTTTAATCCCAGTGTCCAGGAAGTATGATCGTCTTATCAAAGAATAGGGAGAACCAGTGTTAAGAAGCCAGCGTCCAGAGTGACAGCCTTAGACCCTGCTTCTATGCCTCCTCCTCCTCTGAAGAGTGGTGGTGTTAGACAGCTTCCAACTTCCCCACTACAGATATATTTCTTCCTTGGTGAAGTCAAACTCAACTCAAATTTCAAAAGCTTTGATTTTGGCTACAAGTCAACAAAAGATCCACTGTGTGCAATGCACTGGACCAGCAGTGAGGGGGGCAAAGTGGAACAGGCACCCCTGGTCTTACGGAGTAAGCATAGGATAGTATCACATTATCTACTCCCTTCCACTGAGAGGTCAACTGAGAGATCTACAGGACATGCTGAGTGATGGATTCTGACCAGTGGGACATAGGATGATGGTTTAGATTTAAGTTGTCAGAGTACCCAGCGGGGCAGGAAGGACAGGGTGCATGGAATGGATTGGGGGTAGGGAGGTGAGGTAGAACATCAGGCAGAGGGAGAGGTAATTTCAGTGGAACTGCCCAGTGCTTTCATATTAAACTAAGGAATAAGGACTACATTGTATAAGGAGCATAATTTCTAAACAAGGAAGCAGTTTGGTAAGATTGTCTTTCAAAAGTCAATTCTGGGAGAAAACAAACAGAGAGCAAAATATATGTACATATATACACCCATTTCATTTCTAAGTGGGGAATGGAAGGTCTAGAAGAATGCAGGGTTGTGGGGTGAGTGTGTGAACCAGGGAAGCAGCAATAAGACTGGAAGGAAGAAGAACGTTTAGGAGACTCTGAGGTTTGTTTTTTTTTAACAAATCTCTAATCCAGCTGAGGAGGAAATGTGGGCAGCGGTCAGGTAGGGCTGGGTCCTATTTGGGGTAGGAGTGAGAGATTAGAGAAGACAGTGGGAGAGAGTGGTGATGGTGAGTTTGGGGTTCTGGAGAAGGAATTGCAAATGGGGAGGGGGTGATAATAATCCAGTTGGTGACTCCAAATCCAGTTATTCAACAACTATGTGAGCCTCTGCTACTGAAAAAGCAGTAGACCCTGTACAAGACACATATGGACAAGGACAGGGCCATTACTTTTTACTACTTATAACATAATTAGGGAGAAAAGTTATGTAAAAGACTTTCTTTATAAAAGGTAGTTTTTTGGGGGGGGAAATCTTATGGATAACAATTCGGGATTTCAAGGAGGGGGCTCCATGAACCTGTGGATGAAGGGCTTCTGGCAAGAAGTGACTGGCCATGTGGGCCTCAGGATGGTAGGATTTGTAACTCTTAAGATGAACAAGAACTTAGAACTTAGGGCTAATATCTAGAAAAGCAGAAAAACACCAGACTTAAAGATGAAAAGTCAACTGTGTGCCATATCAAAATTCCAGAAGAGAGAGTATTTTCTGGATTTTACTACATTACCCTTAACCCTGATGACTTGTGTATGTGATAACCAGGTTGCTGCTATCTCTGTCTAAATCTCTAAGAAACGGAACTGCCTTAGCAGAAAGAACGTAGCAGCTCTTGGGTCCAGATGCCTGGCCGAATCCTGGTGACCTAACCCCCATAGGCCTCAAATTCCATGTCTGTAAGATGAGGATAATAAGAGTCCCTTCTTCAGAGGGTTATTTTGAAAAACAAAATGAGGAAATACATGGAGAACACTGCCTGGCTGAAATTAAGCATTAAATATTCCTTTTAAAAAGCTGACGGGAATGAGCCATCACCCACTTTTCTCATGCCTAAAACTGCAGAGGTATGATGTCCAACCCAAGGCAGGAGAAGTGTTTAATTTTATATTAGGTTTTGTTTGTGTGTGTGTGTGTTTGTTTTTTATTGTTTTAATTTTAATTTTTTTCAATTATAGTTCACATTCAATATTATATTAGTTTCAGGTATATCGCATAGTGGTTAGACATTTGTAAAACTTATGAAGTGATTCCCCCCAATAAATCCAGTACTCACCTGGCACCATACAATTACAATATTATAAACTATATTCCCTGTGCTGTACTTTACATCCCCTGACTGTTTTGTAACTGCCAATTCTGTACTTCTTAATTCTATCAGTTTTTGTTTACCTTTCTCAGGGTCTCTCCAGCACCCAAGCTGCTGAGCTCCTGGCTCAGGATGGACCCAACACCCTCTCCCCTCCCAAGGAAACACCAGAGATTATCAAGTTCCTGAAGCAGATGGTGGGGGGTTTCTCCATCCTTCTGTGGGTGGGAGCCATCCTGTGCTGGATTGCATATGGGATCCAGTACTCTAACAATAAATCCTCGTCCCTAGACAATGTAAGACACTTGGGTCTCCTTTGTGGTTTTGTTGAATTAGTAACAGGAAAAAACAGGCTTATAAAGTGAGGCCTTTCATGGGCAGAGCTCTGGGTGGAATCAGGAGTGTCCCACTGACCAATTGCTGGGTAGATTTGGGAAAATCAATTATTTTCCCAGCTGTAAAATAGAAATTATATCTGACTTCCTGATGTCTCAGAGGCAGTGTGAACATGAATTTTAAAAAGAGAGAGAGAAAGAGAAACATTATAAGTTCCTAAGTTAAAAAAATGTATATGCATATGAAGTATTTTAGGGCTCTGTCTCCTGAAACCTAATTCTCTTCCTTTAACATGGAAAGCATATGTGCCTGCTTACAACTGAGCAGCAAAACCACAAAACCTTACTGGCCAACATGAGGCTGAGAGAAAGGAGTCAGATGCAAAGGGCCACATACTGTAATTCCATTGGTATGAAATGCCCAGAACAGGCACAACCTGGAGACAAAGCAGATCAGTGGTTGCTAGGGCTGGGAGTGGGAGCAGGGAGGCTGCCAGTGGGCATAAGGGGTCTTATTGGGATGATGGAAATGCTCTAAAACTGGATTGTGGTGATTGTTGCAACTTCAATGAACAACTGTATAAATGTTTTAAAAATCATTGAATTATAGTCTTCAAATGGGTACATTTTGTGGCCTATAAATTACACCAGGACACAATGGCCATCTCTCTGGCCTTCCCATGGAGAGTTCTAGCCCTGGGGTCTTGGCTCACCTTGTGGCTGTTTTCTCTGACCAATGCTTCTCCTCCTGACCCAGGTATACTTGGGCACCGTGCTCATCCTGGTCGTCATTTTAACAGGGATCTTTGCTTACTATCAAGAGGCCAAGAGCACCAACATCATGGCCAGCTTCAGGAAAATGAGTCCACAGGTGAGTGGCAGCTGTCTCTCTCCCTTCTCTGCATGACTTCAGGTGAGGAGAGCGGGGCCTTGGAAGCACGGAGTTCCTGCTTAGGCCTGGCCCCATTTTTTGTTCTCTGAAAAGTCTTGGGCAAATGACCTAATCTCTCTGAAACCCCATTTCCTCAGGGGCTTGAAATGATCAGTGAGGTAAGAGACAGGAAAATGCTTAGTTAAGAGTATAGTAGGATAGAAACATTTGTTACCACACAACATCATCTGTTACCATTCGTAGGTGCTGGTGAGCTGTTCAGGCAAAAGTCATTCAGGTAGTCTGGTAGCCAAGGACATCAGCCCATGATTTTTTTTTTATCTGTGACCATTTTAGCTGCTACTGCTGGGTTTCACTGCATGTTGCCCCAGAATGCTCTCAGGGCGGGGGGGCACTGCTCCTATGTCCCCAAATGGACCCTGGTAGTTGTCCTCTAGAGAGACTGTTCACCATATCAGCAGAGTGGGAAAACCACATGGTCCCTGGGTCCCAGAGCTACCAGCTGGAGGGGACTCTGGAGATCTTTTGTGCTAACGAATGGGAGATCCACTGCCCCCTTCATTAAGGTTTTCCTGACCTAAACGATATTATTAAACCCTTTGGTTCAACCTTCAGGTTTCTTCCCTGACATCCCAGCCAAGAGTTCTCATCCCTTTTAGTCAGACCCAGGCTGTCCCTTTGCTATATCTGCCCACAATACATTTTCTGGTTCCAAGAATATCACTAGGACCTCCTCCTCAAGAAAAAAATAGTTCTTAGGGTCTTCATGCCAAGTGAAAGTTTTTTGTTTCATCTTTTGCCATTCTGACAGCTGCCTGAGTTTGAGTAAGGAGTAGTTGGAAGAGTGTCAGCATCATTCCAAGGTCTGAAGCATCTATCACATTTTCTTTTGCAGCAAGCACTTGTCATTCGAGATTCAGAGAAGAAGATCATTCCTGCAGAGCAGCTGGTGGTGGGGGACATAGTGGAGATTAAAGGAGGGGACCAGATCCCTGCAGACATCAGGCTGCTGTTCACCCAGGGGTGCAAGGCAAGTTGTCAGGCTACTAAGTGGCTGCCACTCTGTGGTCCTTCCAGCTCTCAGCATAGCTGGGGCAGGGGACACGGTGCCTCATATTGAACTTTTTCACAATTTCTGCTAGGTTGACAACTCATCTCTCACTGGGGAGTCTGAGCCCCAGCCACGCTCCTGCGAGTTTACGCACACCAACCCCCTGGAGACAATGAACATCGGCTTCTATTCTACTACCTGTCTGGAAGGTAAGTCTGGCTGGCTCTCAGGACCCCTTCAGGCTCTATGTTTTTATCTCTTTCCATGTCTTATACAAAGCTTGTCCAAGAGAAAACCTGAAATTGCAGGGCCTAGAGAGCTGATATTGGCCTTTCAATGTCATGTGATAATTGATCACGTAAGCCACCAAAGAGAGACAAGAAAGCAGTCTGTGGTCCTCTCTCAGCTGATGACTCTTGGAATAAAATGCCCACTTCATTTTTAGGCACAGCAACTGGCATGGTCATCAACACGGGTGACCGCACCATCATTGGTCAGATCGCCTCACTGGCTTCAGGAGTTGGGACTGAGAAGACACCCATTGCCACTGAGATCGAGCACTTTGTTCACGTGGTAGCAGGAGTGGCCATTTCCATTGGCATCATTTTCTTCATCATTGCAGTGTCCATGAAGTACCATGTCCTGGACTCCATCATCTTCCTCATTGGTATCATTGTGGCCAATGTGCCTGAGGGCCTCCTGGCCACTGTCACTGTGAGTCCATGCTGCTAAGTGGTCTGTTCCTTGACCCTGTTAATACATGCCGCCCTGCTATGCTGCGGGAGCTCCCACCAAAAACTGTGGTTCTCATCCAGCTCAGCAACATTCCCTTCCTGTTAGGGACAACCAGGAGACATTCTGAACTGAATGTTTCTCGGAAGGACAGAAGGAATTGTGAGGTTGTTCATATTCGAGTACACTGTCCTCAAAAACTTTCTATTTTCATTTAGGAGCTCTGTCTGCAAATTGCACATGCAACTTTGTCCCTTAAGATCGAGATAAGACAGACCCAAATCACCATTCACAGATTTGCAAGCAGCCTGATACCTTCCTCACATTTCTACAACTTTCTTGGCATTTTCTACAGCTGAGGAACCTAGGCACATTGTTTACCTAATTTCCCTTTCCTCTGACACACACCGATGCACAAATTCCTTCCCTTTTTTTCTGCAGAGAAATTCAGCCCTTTCCTGCACCTTATTCCAAATTCAGCTATGCATCTCCCTTTGTAGGGTCCAATTAATTCATCCTTAAACAAAGGGACCCATGGTCCCAATTAATAAGGTGGCCTCAGATCATTGGCCTGCTGTTGTCCTCAGCAAAGACAGACAGACGAAGTATCAAACTACAGGTCTCTTCTGACTCCAGAAGGTAGTACTGTGAAGAAATTGAGACCAAAGAAACCTTTGAGATCTAGGGGCTTTAAAAGTGAGAGCTAAGAACCTTTAAAATCTGGACCCCTTAAAATGATATATGAACAATTCTTGCTTCACCAAAGCAAAAAGTGAGCATTTGAGACAAGCTCTTTAGCACAAACTTTATGTATTCACCCTTTTGCTGAACAGAGTCTGGGCAGCCAAAGCTCCCTCTATAATACACATGAGTATGGGCCATAGTGACCTGGCTTGGTTTTGTCACCTCTGGGTTTCTCAGGGTCAATTTCTTCAAGGGGTAAAGAGACAAAAGAAGTATCTCATATTTAATAAAAAGGATTGTGGCATATAGGTTTTATGAGCCACTGCCTCTGTATCAATAGCTGTCCTGAAACTAGTCCAGCTCTAGCAATTTTTATGTTATTGTACCTGAGTTCAGATAGATTTCTGTCTCTCTCTTCTGTCCAGGTGACTCTGTCACTGACAGCAAAACGGATGGCCAAGAAGAACTGCCTGGTGAAGAACCTGGAAGCAGTGGAGACACTGGGTTCCACCTCCATCATTTGCTCAGACAAGACGGGGACTCTGACTCAGAACAGAATGACCGTAGCCCATCTGTGGTTTGATAATCAGATCTTTGTGGCTGATACCAGTGAAGACCATTCAAGTATGTCTTTTGAAGCACAGTCTGTCCCAAAGCTGTGGACTTGAGCAGAAGGGCATTCCCAAATGTGGCAGGATTGGTGCACGTTCTCAAAATTGTGTGAATAGTTTGGTTTGCAGAGAGTGGTTCCAGCACCCACAGCATACCTTGTGCTTTCTTTTTATCCAGAGCAAACCTTCGACCAAAGCTCTGGAACCTGGGCCTCCTTATCAAAGATAATCGCATTGTGTAACCGAGCTGAGTTCAGACCAGGACAGGAAAGTGTCCCCATCATGAAGGTAAAGCATCTGCATCACTCGGTCTTAAACCACAGCCAATCTGAAGTCACTTTCCCTGTTCTGACTCGATATTAGATTTAATCTCTCCAACACAGGAAAGCTTGTACTAGTAAGAGAAAGTCTGCTCCCAAGACCTGCAGAAGATTTCCTTCATTCTAACTAGCTTTGCAACATCACAGAGAGGTCTAAAGGTCTCAGATTGATCTCAATCCTTTGAAAATACTGTCTCATTCCAGAAAATGAATATGCCCTTAAGTTACTTTCCTGACTTCTTAATAAGTAGAATTAATCAAAGTTTTTTATTGCATAAATATCATTCACTGAATTTTAAAATATAATTGGATGAAATAGAAGGACTGATCTTAGAACACATTCTTGTTGGCAGCAGATGCTCTAAGGAGTCTTGGAATATTGGAATATGCAATAAACTAGCTCCCTTTTATCCCTTCCCTCACTTCCTCCCTCCATCGCCCTCTCTTTCTCTCTTCTTCTACTTCTCAGTGAGTCACTGAATCTATGCCCCTCTGGCTTTCCTATTTGCCATTTGTTTTCTTTACTGACTCTTTATCTTTCTTATATTTTTGTTTGTTTTTCTTTCTCTATCAGCTCATCAATTCTCTTTGCGGCCAATCACTTTGCTGTCTTTCAAATCCTTATGTCCAGTTCTAACTTCTCACCCCAGCTAGCTGTGTTTCCACTTAGAAGTTTTGACTATTAGACTCTCAGCAAATCTTGTCCCAATTTTTCTATTTTTCTGTGACATCACCATTTTACGTGTGATCTGGACCAGAACTTTTAGAAGTCATTTTTACTTTTTCCTCACCAAGTGCCATTGTTCTTGCTTCAAAATATCTATAATTTACATTTTTATTATCACCAGTACCTTGCATCTAAATAATATATCACCAATACCAGCATTGTACTTGGCCTATCCAACTCCAGTTTATATCTTCCCCCAGTCTTTCTTTCATGGCACCAATTTTCCTTAAAAACTGTATTAGATGAAAAATATCACCTAATTTTGCTCAAAAATTTCCCTTGATGCTCTGTTTTCTGCTTCTGAAATCTAGACCTCAGCCTGCCTTTCAGGCCCCCCCACACCCATTTGTCCTTCCAGCACTTATGCCAGAAGTCTTCCACTTCTTGCTTCCATTTGTGACATTCTGGCTTCTAGAAGCCTTTCTCCTCCTCTCTTTTCAAGATCTAGTTCCTAACTGCTTTTTTCGTGAAACTCTTCAGCTGTCAGAGCTCTGACTTTGCGCTTTGCTAATGCCAGTAGGTGGCATCACTTAAGATATAAGGATATGTTTATTGATTTTAGAGAGGAAAAGGGAGAAAGACAGAGAGACAAATAGACTTCAGAAATGTGAGAGAAACATCAATTGGTTACTAGGGATTGAGCCCTCAATGTTTTGGTGCATGAGACGACACTCCAACCAACTGAGCCACATGATCAGGGCTCACTTTAACACTTTTACCGTGATCTAAACTCAGTCGGAATTGTGTGACATCGTTTTGTCTCTCCAGCTAGATGGTAAGCTTAGTCAGACAACATGCTGATTCATTGAAAATAACCCTGTAAGAACCAGATTATGTACTGCAAATATATCTATATCTATATCTATATCTATATCTATATCTATATCTATCTCTTTTGATTCTCAGAGAGTTGTGGTTGGAGATGCCTCAGAAACTGCTCTTTTGAAATTCTCAGAGGTGGTTTTGGGTGATGTGATGGAGATTAGAAAAAGAAACCACAAAGTAGCAGAAATCCCTTTTAATTCAACCAACAAATTTCAGGTGAGTTGTTCCTCACAAGAGAATCTCTGTTATAATAACAGCATTTCTACCTGTAAGTACCCTAAGGCTAGTGTGGATTTTGAATGACACTTGATTTCAAAAATAGTCCTCCACAATAGACTGCCTGGGTCTCTGGTAAATCCACAACAGGTTTTCCCTTTCTGGCCTGAAGCAGGTAGCCCAAAAGAATCTGGTTAGCCAGGCTGCTCCTAGAACAGCCTATCTCTGTTACAGGCACACTCACATACACCCCTCACTCTCTGTCTCTCTCTGTCTCTCTCTGTCTCTCTCTCTCTCTCTCTCTCTCTCACACACACACACACACACACACGCCCCTTGGGGGTGACTTGCACAAGTGAGGGGCAACCAACAGCTAGAGCCCAAAGGGTAAATGAAATTGGGGGGGATAGCTAACTGCGCTGTAGTCTGTGTCAGGTGATTCACATCCATTGTCTCATTGATCCTTATAATAAGCATATGAAATAGGATTAATTAATCCCAATTTACAGATAAGGAAACAGGCCCCTATGTTGATGTCACCAGACTCACACCAGCATCAGTGTCACAATCAGTTTTCACATACCTGTTTGGTTCCTGAGAGCATGCTTTTTCTACCCTATAACTCAGAGGCAGAGCAGCCTTGCTCAGGCCATATGACAAAGCCCTGCCCTTTATGAAACTGGTAAGGAGTCTCTCTGATGGTCAGCTATGTGTCGTTCCAGTTCGACCCCATAGGAATCTTCTTTCTATTTATTTCTCAGGAAGAAAATGGCTCTTCTTACCTGGTTGTCTCCTCTCATTTCGGGGGTGGCCAACAACCAAACACCTTCCTCCTCCTGTGTTTGGACAAATAACAGTGTGTAGCTCAAGGTCCTGCTGGCGATAGGCTTTTCCAGTAAACTCCAGCACTGACAGCCATCATGATTTGGTCTTTGCATTAACAGTGTATTTTAAGTGTATAAATAGGATAGCCATGTTTGCATCAAAGTTTCTGGTGGTTACCCTGCCATTTTGTTTAGATGGAAAACAACTGGTTGTTGTAAATATCTTTGTGGATAATGCACCAATGAAGAACTGCAGTTAGTCAAACAGATAACCAGCAAAATTGTGCAATGTCAAACATTAAAGCCAGGAAATCAGATCTCTCATTCAAAACTTAAGTGAAAATAAAATGAGTCAAAATCCTAAAATAACAACAGTAATCACAGTCTATGTGCTAACTTCCTCATGTATTAAATCACTCAATTCTCATTACAGCTCTGTAAGATAGAGAGTAAGGTCCAGAGCTATATCACTTAGCTGGTAAGGGCCAGAGCCAGGACTCACACAGACTCAGAGAGTCTGTGCTCTTTCACACTAGGTGGATGGCCTTGCAGTTAGGAACAAGACTCAGAATCCTTCATCTACTCCAGTAAAGACTTCCTTCAGCATGTGAGAAATGAGAAAAAGCAGGTCCCATGAAGACTCATGCATAAAAAATGGAGGGAGAAAATGGGCTACAACAGTTGGGACTAGAAAGGAAAGATGGCCTGTGTGTGTTCTTACTGATGAGGCCAAAGCACCTCTTTGGATGTTGTTGGTGCCATTTTAACTCTACACCTGAGCATTAAATATCATGACCTTGGAAGGTTGTGGGGTTTCAGGCAACTAAAGGAAACAAAGTAGAAATTTCACATCTTATTGACTTTAGAATAGCAATTTGCCAAACTGAAACTGTTCCATGAAGAGATTTTCAATAGTTTATGGCAAATTGGATTTTTAGGACAATATTTTATAAAGTTTTATGTGAAGATGAATCTGTTCATCTAAACAATTATCTTCTATATCCTTTATGATCAGGGTGGGTCTCACACCTGCCAGCCTGAATTAAACCACGCCCCTCACCCCGCCCTAGCTACCTGCTAATGTGTGACCTTCATGAGTCATTTAACCTTTCTGCACCTGATCGTCCTGCCTTGGAAAATGTGATAAGAGTGCTAACAGCCTTAGGGCAGTTCTGAGAATTACATAAGTAACTGTGAGCACACAGAACAGCACACACTATATAAGTGTTTATTATTCCTGCTTTTTAAACATTAAAATGCTCTATCTTTGAGAAAATGATAGTGATAGTAGCTGGGAGGTTTTCTTTTTGGTTTGCTTTTGTTTTGTTTTGTTTTGGTTTGGTTTGGTTTGGTTTCATTGGTTAGTTGCTTTTAATGTCTTTACTTGGCCATGAAAAAAAAAAGCTGGCAAATCTATGTTTGCCCTCTATTTTTTTTTATTGTATTCATGTCTGATATTTGAAAACCTAGAACTACTGATTTAGAATCAACTGATAGACTCAAAATTTTTCTCTGAAACCTATTCATTCTATCTCAAATACTCCAGCTTCCTGAAATTTCTTTTATTCAAGTATATTTTATTGATTATGCTATTACAGTTGTCCCCTTTTATCCTCCCCTTTATCCCCCTCTGCCCTGAATCCCCCCTCCCACCAGCATTCCCCCACAACCTTAGTTCATATCCATGTGTCATACATATAAGTTCTTTGGCTTCTCCATTTCCTATACTATTCATAACCTCGCCCTGCCTATTTTGTACCTACCATTAATGCTTTTTATTCCCTGTACTTTTCCCCCCATTTGTCCCCTCCCCCTCCCCATTGATAACCCTCCATGTGAACTCCATTTCTGTGATTCTGTTCTTGTTCTAGTTGTTTGTTTAGTTTGTTTTTGTTTTGTTTTAGGTTCAGTTGTTGATAGTTGTGAGTTTGTTATCATTTTACTGTTCATAGTTTTTGATCTTCTTCTTTTTCTTAGGTAAGTCCCTCTAACATTTCATATAATAAGGGCTTTGTAATGATGAACTCCTTTAACTTTACCTTATCCGGGAAGTACTTTATCTGCCCTTCCATTCTAAATAAGAGCTTTGCTGGATAGAGTAATCCTTGCCTTTCATGACTTTGAGCACTTTTTTCCAGCTCCTTCTTGCCTGTAAGATTTCTTTTGAGAAATCAGCCGATAATCCTATGGGAACCCCTTTGTAGGTAACTGTCTCCTTTTCTCTTGCTGCTTTTAAGATTCTCTCCTTATCTTTAATCTTTAATCTTGGGTAACTTAATTATGATGTGTCTTAGTGTGTGCCTCCTTGGGTCCAACTTCTTTGGGATTCTCTGAGCTTCCTGGACTTGCATGTCTATTTCCTTCCCCAGATTGGGGAAGTTTTCCTTCATTATTTTTTCAAATAAGTTTTCAATTTTTTAGTCCTCCTCTTCTCTTTCTGGCAACTCTATGATTTGGATTTTGGAACGTTTAAAGTTGTCCCAGAGGTTCCTAAGCCTCTCCTCACTTTTTTGAATTCTTGTTTCTTCCTTCTGCTCCAAATCATTGATTTGAGTCCTGGTTTCCTTCCCTTCATTGTTGGTTTCCTTTACTTTTCTTTATTTCACTTTGTATAACTTTCACTTCTTCATTTATTTTGCATTCATACTCAATCATTTCTGTGAGTGTCCTGATCACCAGCATTTTGAACTCTGCATCTGATAGGTTGGCTATTCCTCATTGCTTAGTTCTTTTTCTGGAGTTTTGATCTGTTCTTTCATTTGGGCCATTTTTCTTTGTCTTGACACACCAATCTGGACGAATCTTTCTTCTTTAACTCCTTGGCTGTTGGACTCCCATAGAGTTCAATTTTTGGGCAGTTCTGTGTTGTTGTTGTTTTTTTAAATCAGTTGTTTTCCTTCTTTTGGTTGTGTGAGGAAGCAGTGTATCTACCTACGCATCCACCTTGGCCAGAAGTACCATCTTTCTGAAGTTTCTTTTGAGAGCTTAGCAGAATATTTGGTATAAAATAAGGGATACGTAAGAGTTAGCCATTTACTGTCATCTGTATCTTTTTTCACACTTTTCCCAGTTATCTTATTGGGATGAAACTAGAACTAGAATTGCTAGGTCAAAGGATATTTGTATAATAATTGTAATACCTGTTACTTAACTGTCCTCCTGAAAGCCTAGACACTAGCCTTCCCAGTTCCTCACACCCCTACCATTTTATCTCATGTCCAGGTAGTAAAAGTGGATCAATGTGGAGATGAAGAGGCTTCTGCTCACAATAGGGAGGTAGAGATGGGAAGTTAGACAAGGCCACTTACAGCTCCTGACCCTCACAGGCACCCCTGCAGATCTTGTTAAAGGCAGACAATGTCACAAGCTGACAGCCATATCTGTCCCCCCTAAAGAAGCCCCTTTGTTTGGACTGGACCTCAAAGTGCCCTGCTGGGCTGAGGCTAGATCGTTGAGTCCAGATCTCTTGCATATCACTTGGCCAGAAAGTGGAAAGGAGAAACCCTACCTGTAGAATTCCTCCCTTACATTTTAAGGATGAGTAGCCCAGTGAGAAAAAGAGTTGCTTTTCATCCTGTCATGTTGCTAATTAAAAGATCTGTACAGTTTAGGCCTTCAGTAATGGGGACAGCATCATGATTCACTACTAGCATGCAGTACTTATGCTCACTTTCTTCTCTCCCAGCTCTCCATACATGAGACAGACAACCCCACTGACAAGCGCTTCCTCATGGTGATGAAAGGGGCTCCTGAGAAGGTCTTAGAGAAGTGCAGCACCATCATGGTCAATGGCAAGGAGCAGCCACTGGACAAGAGCACAGCTGAGGCCTTCCACACTGCTTACATGGAGCTGGGAGGTCTAGGGGAGCGTGTATTGGGTGAGCTCTTGGTGGGAGAAGCCTTATATGTCATTTGTTCAGTGCAAGGCTCTGCCACGTCATGGCCATCCAACAGAGTAGCTGGGGCATCCACAGGACTCACAAAAAGAAGAATGGAAGTCAGATAAGAGAATGCCACGTGATAACAGCAAGGAGGGTGGGGTTGTTGCCAAGTAAGGAAAACCTGGGAAGGTTCTATGGAAGGAGTTACATTTAAACTGGCCTTAAATGACAATATTTGAAGGAAAGTGAGGGATAGGATTCACAGTGGTGGGAACAACATAGGCCAAGGCCCAGAGGTAGAAGAAGGGGCAGTGTAAGCATTGTCAGGGAGCTGGTCAGTGTGGAGTGTTGCAGGATGACAGAGATGATGTCATCCTGGGAGATGACGTAGGGCTGGAAAGGTAGACTGGAGGTCAAGGTATGGAGAGCCTTAGGTGGATGAAGAACTGGGTTTCATTCCATAGCCAGAGCAGAGCCAATGGAGACTTTGCAGCTAATAAAATGATCAGAGTCAGTGTTTTCTAAAGGATCACACTTGGCAGCATCAGGGAGCAGAGCAGCCAGGGTCACCTTGTTCAGGTGACAGAGGGCAGGAATTTGATCTAAGGCAGTGGGAACATGAAGGACGGGTCAGATACCAGAGATTTCTTAGAGGCAGAATTGGTAAGACTTATCACCTAATTCGAGAAGAAAAGTAAGTTTTAAAAAATGTTAAAGTTTTTAAATTAGTGATTAGGGGAAAATACTACCAGTAACAGAGACAGGGGACATTAGAGGTAGAAGGAACTATAGAAATACAACCTCTGTGGCAGGAGCTGAATTGTGGTCACTTCAGCAATATCACAGAGTATGCCCTATTATGAGAATCATGGGTTGACAGAGTGGCACCTCTGAACTACAGGATGGTGAATTCAAGGTAACAAGTTAATAATCGATGATAAGGCTCATTAGACATCATGAAAATTCTTGCCAGTAGAGATGGAATCTGTGGAATGTGTGTTTCTAAAGGATATTTGAGTTTTTAAAACAAGTAAAATATATAAATGAGATGATAATGCTTTAAGCATGCCTCAAATAGCCCATAATACCAGGTAGTCTTTTCAGGGCAAGACTGATACTCATCTAACTAGAGTCGCTCTAGGAACCTCACATTTGACCTCTTTAGAGCCTGTGTTTTACTGAAACATGTAATGCAGTGAGCCATGATGAGAATAAATTTGATGTGAAAGGTGATGAGAAAGTCACATGATCTTGGAAGTCCCACAAGACACAGGAATCCTTTCACCTCAGCCCGTGAGAGCCAGATGCCATCTGAGCAACAAATGGTTCTGCTCCACACCTGGTGGCCTTACTCTCCCACTTAGTTTGATTAAAGACTGAACTCCATACCATTCCCCTGATGCCCCAGATTCTTTCCCCCTTTGTGCAGTAGCATGTACTGTTTGTCTGCCTAAATGGTCTTCCTACCCCACCCCATCCTCATTCCCCTCTAATGCCTCTCTCAAGAGTCAGCTCACTCACATACAACCTCCTTGGTGAAGTTTTTCCAGACTCCCTCAGTGGCTGGAGTGTAGCTGTCCTCAGTAACACTCACCGTGCTCTATTGTGCTTTTCTCTTTATGTCTCTGTCTCCACACTCAACTGGGATATCTTCAGGAGTGAAGTCTATCCCTTCTTGGTTTTTATAACCCTAAAACATAACAGAAAACCTAAATGGTATGTGAATAATTTTCAGAAGAACCATTTCTTTGCTAAAAACAACATGCATTATGGAACTGAAAGGTGAGTTCTAGTAGACTCAATTGGCAAAGAAGTAAAGGACTAAGAATGTATGAAAATATTCCTCCTTTTCTCATGTCATTTCATAGCCTAGTTTCACTGACTCCAAAATTCATGCCCATTCCAGGTTTCTGTCATCTCTACCTACCAGCAGACGAGTTTCCAGAAACCTATTCATTTGATGTTGATGCCATGAACTTCCCTATGTCCAATCTCTGTTTTGTCGGGCTCTTGTCAATGATTGATCCCCCTCGGTCCACTGTCCCAGATGCAGTCACCAAATGCCGGAGTGCAGGTATCAAGGTGGGAGTTACCTTCCTGACTTAAGAAGTCCTCCATGGATATTGCATCTCTTCCTAAGAACATTTGGCAGAAGAGATTATTAGTATTTAGGTCACTTCAAGTAAATACCACAGTTCCCTTTTTAAAAATCTCTACTTTCATCATACTAAGATTTCAGTAGCTGTGCAATAAAAACAAAATAATTGTGTCTATGTGAAATCAACCACAATCATAACTGTAGTGAGAAGAAAGGAAACTTCCTGTGCCATGAAGTAGCCATATTTTGCCCTGGGCTATAATGGACAATAAAAGGTTTTATTACTAAATCTTGAGTTTCAACATCTGTAATCCATTTGCCTTCATTATTTCAAAATCAAAATCTTCATTCCATTACCATGTTAATATCAAGATTGTGGAAGCCATGTGAGCCTGTAGCCCTTTCATAAACACAGCAACATCATAGGGAAAGGGCTTCCTCTAATCAAAGGAGGAAACACAAGAAACCTAGGAGCAAGGATAGATCCAGTGGGACCAGTGTGTCCTTAAAAGACAGTTGTACCTTTGGTCTAAAGATCAAGAACTCTCTATAAGGGCAGACCACAGTCATCACTAACTATGTTCTACCAGGTCATGGTAGAGTAGGTGATACTGAACTGCCTCTACTCTGGCCATCCAGTTCCTCATCATCCTCATGCTTTTCTCCATGTTTGTGTTCTAGGTGATTATGGTTACAGGCGATCATCCAATTACAGCCAAAGCTATCGCCAAGAGTGTAGGTATCATTTCAGCCAACAGTGAGACTGTGGAAGACATTGCAAAACGCCTCAACATTCCTGTAGAGCAAGTTAACAAATGGTAAGTAACCACAAAAAGCCAACGCGGCAGAAATTCAAGTTCAGTGGGACCCTGTTGACTCAAAAGAGGTGTGCAATTTGGAGCAAATCCCATTTTTTCCAAACACTCTCTCAAGGTACTGCTAGGTTAGTTTCCTCAATAACTCTTATCCATTCATTCACTCATAATTTTATTTAAAATCTAATATGTGCCAGGAATTGTATTCATAATGTAAAAATTACCCTTTATGTATTCCTTGTTTGGAATTGCAAAGAAACAATAAAGTAGATCTGAAAACGTAAGTGCCTAATTTACAGTTAGAAAAACTGAAACAGAGTTGATATGAAATGACTTGCCAGTGATCTAGTTGTATAATCCAGAATATTAAGAACATTTTGGGTTTTGTACATTTCTTTTTTTGTCAGGGGGAAGGTGAAGTAAATATAATGGAAGCTTCCTAAGGAAAGATTCAGTTTTTCTGTATGTTAATTCTTTCCATAATCACTTGTTGAATGTCAACTATATACCAGGCACCTTGCTAGCCACTGGAACTACAGAAACAGACTGGACACTATCCTCCCCCCACCCCCTGCCCTGGAGGAGCTTTCTTTCTTGCTATCTAACCAGAGTGGCAGAAAACTCAAAACTGATTATGTTATGATGAGTACAATGAAGGGGACACACTGGGCAGAGGAGCTGGCAGTATGAGGAGATTTAGCTGGTAATTTAAGTGATTAAAGACTCCAGGTCTCAATGTGAAAATAAATGTCATTGGCTTTACTATATTTTCATGCATGTGAGGGAAACAGGGAAAGACCAGTGAACCCCCACTAGTTTATCCAAGCATTCATGCCTTTTAGGAATACAGAGCTGTCAGGTAATAAATTATTGCCAAGCCAAAGAATTACTAAGTAAAGCAACTAGAGTTATAGCCTCTGGGCACAACAACCATATGTGAAATCTGTGTCTTCTCTTTTGTAGGAATAACATTAATCTATGAAACACAGGTTTAGAGCTTCTGTTTATTTGTTTTGTGTTTTAAAATAATAGAACTATACATTTTCACACAAGGCACACACTGAACAGGAAAGTGGAGTGGATACTTTTGTGAATGTTTTCAGTTATCCACTTTATCAGCTCTAGCTTCATGCTCATATAATAAGTAGATTTTTGCAGCTGTGAGTGGGGGAAGGAACCATCCTTTCCTTCTTATCTTACTTTTATATTTTCTTACCAAGAAGCACTTAGCACTTAGACTTCCAAGTGCTAGAATTCCAATATTTTGCACCAGCAGAAAAAAAACAGACCTAAAAAAGCTCAAAACTTTAAAGATGTAAAGAAAAAGACACACAGTGCTTTGTGCAGAGTGTTTAAGCTGAGATTTTAAGACTGAAATGTGGAAGGGAAGGGAAGGGAAGGAAAGGAAAGTGAAGGGAAGAAAAGGGAGGGGAGGGGAGGGGAGGGGAGGGGAGGGCAGGGCAGGGCAGGGCAGGGCAAGGCAAGGCAAGGCAAGGCCACCAGACCAGCAAAAGCCTTTGAGCAGTGGAGGGCGTGTAGGCTCAGAACTGAGTGGTCCAATGGTCTGGAGAGAATAGCCAGAGGGTATATGAAGCTGAGCAGCACCGATGGCACCTGGCCTCAGTGGCTACAGCTGGGGTCTGCTCTAAGCACAGTGAAAAGCTTCTAAAAAATTTTAGCAGAGGATAACACACAGATGTGAATAATCAGTAGTTTCCAGAACCTTCTTTTTAGAGTCTTCAGGAAACAGTTTTCCTCAGAGAAGACCTCAAAAACCTTTTTTCCTACATAGCTCATTGCATAGTTGATACTTTATAAATCTGAAATAAATACCAACAAGGAATTGTTACCCATGTTTTGGTATAAGCTGATTTTTAGGATCCAAAATGTGTAAACAGGCAGGGTGTTGTTGTTGTTGTTGTTGTTGTTTTATCCTCCATTTACTTGTTAAGCAAAATATAGCCTGGAATTACCACTTCTCATCCAGTCCTGTCAGAAAAAGTCTACTTGGTTATTCCTGTTGGGAAAAATGGCCTTCTTTTTCAGCCTCAGTTTACTGTCTTAAAATGGAGACCAAAGTGTCCCCAGTATTCAAAACCCCTATCATCCTACTCGAGTATTGAGTGTCAAGGCCATTGGGTTCCCAGTGAAGTCAAAGAGCCTTCAGCCCACATCCCGCCCAGAGCAATGTGTCAGCCAACTATTCAACCTTTGGCCTCACCCAGCTCCTTTGGGCCCCTCTAGGGACGCTAAAGCTGCAGTGGTAACTGGCATGGAGCTGAAGGACATGAGTGCGGACCAGCTGGATGAGGTCTTAACCAGCTACTCAGAAATCGTCTTTGCCCGAACCTCCCCCCAGCAGAAGCTGATCATTGTGGAGGGCTGTCAGAGGCAGGTGGGTGGGCAGCAGTGCCCAGAGGACCTCCCAGTCCCTCACCATCCTGTGGGGAAGTGCAGGGCTGAGATTCAGATCCAGGTCATGGCTTTGTGCCTTTTCAACCTCTTGAGACAGTTCCTTACCTGTCCTCATCACCTCACCTTGCTACCTCTTGGACTGACCCTCTGACCTCCTTAGAGGCCCTCTGACAAGGAGCTGCATGCTTTCCAAAGGGCTTTCTGACAGTGAAGCATCTGGTACTATGGTAGGTGTGGGATTAGAGAGACTTAAAATGTAGGACAGAGGATAGAAATATAAAAATGTAAGGTATAAAATATACAGCTATCGCTTGGTATCCTCAGAATATTAGTTCCAGGACCACTCCCCTACCATACCAAAACCCATGGGTGCTCAAGTTCCTCATATAAAATGGAGTGTTATTTGCATATAACCTATGTTTACATATAGGTAACCTACATTTTCATATTACCTACATTTGAACAGAAGCTACAGCAGGTTGTGCCCACACATCACTTCATTTTGTGGCATTATCAGCATAGTGCTTGGCATACAGCAGATTCAAGTTTCACTTTTTGGAATTTTCTGGGATTTTTTCCTTAAATATTTTTGATCCTCTGTTGAATCTTCAGATGGGAAACCTGTGGATATGGAGGGCCAACAGTATCCCTCTCACCTGTCACACACATTGGTTTTAATTACTTAAACACATCTTGCACTGAGTTCATCATGTGGCACCTCAGATTTCCCATCTTTATCTTTTCTCCAAAACCCAAACCGGGCCCTTTGTCTCCATCCCAGTTGTCCTCCATCCTCAAGACAAAAGAAAAACAGTGTTCTTGTCAGACTTGTGACCTTATTGTCCTGCTCACTCCCATTTTTTTTCATCGTGTCCCTGTGCATAGGGTGCAGTTGTTGCTGTGACTGGGGATGGAGTGAATGACTCTCCAGCTCTAAAGAAGGCAGACATTGGGATTGCCATGGGGATAGCAGGTTCAGATGCTGCCAAAAATGCAGCCGACATGGTCTTGCTGGATGACAACTTCGCATCTATAGTCACTGGGGTGGAGGAAGGTGCGTAGTCTTTCTCCAAGTGATCTTCCTGAAAACTGGGGTTACCTGGGGGGAAAGCCAGCCCTATAAGAAGAAACATCGTTGCCTAGGTCGCTTGATCTTTGACAACCTCAAGAAGACCATTGCATACACCCTGACCAAGAACATCGCTGAGCTGTGCCCCTTTCTGATCTACATCATTGTTGGGGTGCCCCTGCCCATAGGCACCATCACCATCTTGTTCATTGACTTGGGCACGGACATCGTAAGTAACACTATAGGGAACAGGGTCTGATAACACCCCCAGGTCATGTGAACTTCAGAGTCTTTGCCTTCAAGGGTAAGGAGATAGACTAAATCAATGCTTGTCAAACTTAGCTATGATGGGCCTGAAGCTCTGCATTTCTAGTGAGCTTTTCCATGACACCAGTACTGCTGGTCCACCAGCTGCTCTTCAAATCAAAAGACTAGAGCGATCTGTCAAATGTTTGGAAATTAAAACCACCATACTTCATTATAAGAGCTTTTCAAACAAGAGTTCTTCACCCTCCAAAAAAATATGCCATTGGTCAGGTTCAGTTCTCTTTTCTTTCGAGAAGATGCAGCTGCCACCAAGATAGTCCCTGTGCTGCTGGGGGTTCAATGGCCAAAGTGATAAACCACAGAAGCCACTTGTTAAGTAAAGGATCTGTGATCTGGAGACCCCTTGCCCCAACACAATAAGAAGCCACAGTTATAAAGCCTCACATTGACCTACAATGCTGCCACCTAAACCCCTTCCTCTGCTAGTTCTCATCTGTGTAAAAAATCTTCGTGACATTGTGTGTGTATCTCTGGCTTACAGTGGCAAAGGAGGAAAGGCAGCAGGGAACAATCTGGATTCTCAGTGAGGACACAGCTCTGCAAATTGCCACATTGCCCCATTCCTGTGTTATACAGCCTCCACATTGCAGGGAGACTGGAGTTAGCTCTATCTTTGAAGGGGATTGAGATCCCCAAGGGTTACAGTCAGATTATGTTCAGGCTTTTTAAATTTGCTCATTTTTCTCCACTGCAGTGGTTCTTCCAGTGTGGGCCAGGGATCACCTGAGAACTTGTTAGAAATGCAGTCTCTGGACCTAGCCAGGACTGTGTGGATCAGAAAGTCTGTGGTGGGGTGGGGGACAATGATCTGTTTTGTTTTGTTTTGTTTTTTAATATGTGCTCCAGGACAGAGGACCTGGGAGAGAACCACTGTGATCCAGGGACATGCCAACAGGGGAGGGGTGGGTAGGAGAAATCTACCCCAGGGAGCAAAATGATTTATAATTTGCATTGTATAGAACTGTTAGCACGTGGTGATGATGGAAAGCAGATTGATTTTAAAAGATGACTGTTCTTAAATGCTGTACAGACAACAGAGCCCCCTTGTCTTCATCCTGGATAGACCTGGATAGACCCAGGGACACCTTCCTCCATCCCTCCCACCCTTACCCAGGCCCCAGATTACACCCCTGCTGTCATCCTGTGGTTGGAGCACAGTGTTAAAGGGGTGGGCTCCATGGACTCTCCCCTCCAGGTTCCCTCCATCGCCTTAGCTTATGAGAAAGCTGAAAGTGACATTATGAACAGGAAGCCTCGCCGCAAGAACAAAGACCGACTGGTGAACAAGCAGCTTGCCCTATACTCTTATCTCCACATCGGTATGATGAGAGCATGTCCTGTCACCCAGGGGACCACCAAGTCACAGTCAGAAGTTGTGTTTTTCTTTGTGGGGTGGGGTAGGGGTGGGAGGAGGAACCACAAGAAGAATGAGGCCAGGGCAGTTCTGAAGTCACTGTGGAATGTATGCCCTACTCTCATTTTCTCAGGCCTCATGCAGTCCCTGGGAGCTTTCCTTGTGTACCTCACTGTGTATGCACAGGAGGGCTTCAGACCCAGCACTCTCATTAACCTCCGGGTGGAATGGGAGAACGACTCTGTGAACAACTTAGAAGATAGTTATGGACAAGAATGGGTAAGGAGGGGCTACGCCTTCCCTGTCCTCCTCCTCCTCCGCCATCACTGCCCTGCCCAGGTGACACAGAACTTAATTTCCCTAGACAGTCTTAGAGACCCAGAGAAGGTGAAAGTTTTCTAAGTTGACAAGGCTTCTGGGCCCCTGGGCTACACTGCTGTGGTCTTTGCTGGGATTTGCCTCATCTCTAGAATGCAATGCATGAAGGTCATGTTTTTAGGGAAGAGTAGCCAGTCCAACAATGGGCCAAATCAATTAAGTTATCCTTTTTCTGCTTGCTTGGTTAAAAAACAAACAAACAAAAACCTGTGTTGATCTTCAGTCAACATCTCAATTTCAGGAAGGTGGGGAAAGTAGAGCATCACAGAACTGCATGGAACTCTCCCTGAAGTTTTCCCTGTGGGGTCTTATGTTCTCTTCTCTCTCTGTCCACTGACAGACGCATTACCAGAGGAAGTACCTAGAATGGACAGGCTATACAGCTTTTTTTGCTGGCATTATGGTCCAGCAAATAGCAGATCTGATCATCAGGAAAACCAGGAGAAACTCCATCTTTCAGCAGGGTCTCTTCAGGTACTACCTGCATCCCACCTTGCTTCCTGAATGATGAGGCACCATACCATGCAAGGCATTGGTGTCACAGGCACTGGGTGTGTGGTCCTGGGCCATGAGAATTCAGAATTGTCATACTTTAATTTCTCTTGTAGAAATAAAGTCATCTGGGTAGGGATTATCTCCCAGATTGTCATCGGTCTGATCCTCTCCTATGGGCTTGGAAGCATCACAGCCCTGAATTTCACCATGCTCCAGTGAGTTCCTTTGACAGTGGGGAGGAAAGAGCCAGCACTGCTCTGAATTGTCAGAATCTAAATAAACATTGGGACTTGAGGGGAAGGAGTGGGATTCCCCTCCAGCCTTTCAAAAGAGGTAAAACCTAGTCAGTTCCATATTAGTCTTTGACCTGCTAGTTTGCCCAAAGAGAAAATGGATTTCCCACACCTTAGCATCCCATCTCTACCCTCATCCAGCAGGTTACCTCAAAGGCAGATGTTGCTTCTAGTGGTCACAATCCAGGTTAAACAAGAAAATTTCCAGTTTCATATTGTGTGACCCCATGGATTTGTTGTCCTTTCCAGTGAGACAGAGAAATGTACTGGGAGTCCTCTGTCCCTTGGTAGGGGTTGGCCCTCCCTTTGATGAATTCAGGCTCACCACCCCCTTCTGTTTCCAGGCCTGAGTACTGGTTTGTGGCTGTGCCCCATGCCATTCTCATCTGGGTGTATGATGAAGTGCGGAAACTTTTCATCAGACTCTATCCTGGAAGTAAGTTGTAGGATGATCTTTAAGACCTTGCCTACCCACTTCAACAGACTATCCATTTCTAATTCACTTTCTACCACTGCAGGCTGGTGGGATAAGAACATGTATTATTAAGACCACCCACTTCCCAGGCCTCCCACCTGCACATGGATATGTTCCTGTCCATCTTCTGGCTCAGCAGGGACATCACCAGAACACACATGGGAGAAGTCAGAAAACCATAAGAAAGACACAGCTAGATGCTTTATACATTAAAGTAGAGATTCAACTGTTTATATGATTTTCATCTGTATATACACCTCCTTATTTAAAAAGATGTGAATTTCAAGGTAATAATGTAGGGAAAACTTATGTATTTATATGTATATAAAACTCACTCTCATGAGATAGTCTTGTGTAATCCTGATATCTGCCATGGTCTCCCTGCTCCCTATGCTCTCATAGGATTGCTTGAACCTCCATTCCACACCCTGTTAAATGTCCAATGACCTCTCAAAGATTGCTGTGAATTCCAAGATATCTTATTTTTTCATAGTTACCTTGCTCAAAAGAGGCCAGTGCAGCTGAAGGTTTGCAAGAGATGGAAATGATGGTATGTTTGCATCACAGCAACATGGATAACCTCAGTTTTGATTTTGAGATGTCCTTCTTAAAGGTCCTTAGCCACCTAGCTGCACCACCTCAACCATTCTTGGTGCTCTCTCTCCTACCAGTGTGACCCCTCCCTCCCTCCCATGCTGCCCTCTAGCGCTGCTACCAGCTGCTCCTAAATGAGCTTCAAGTCCATCTTGCATAACCTGTTACAGATGTTCGCCTGACCCAAAGGAATTTTCATTTCACAGGAGTTAGCCTCAGTAGAGAACTGTTGTTGTTTAAAACAGTAATGTTTATTTCTTGTAAAACAGTTGCAAAGCACCCTCCAGCACTCATTATATGCCTGTCTTGTTTCATGTATTAACTTAGATTTATTCATGTAAGACACATACATTCATGTTGATAGCCCCAGAGAATCTTTACTTTAAAACCAAAGGTATCTTATAAAACCAGGTTTCATTGTGGTGTTCCTATTAATTCGAGATTTTCTGGAATGCAGAGCATGAAAATGAAATGATTTCAATTTCTTTTTTGTTTCTTCCAGTCATTTTATTTTTCCATGGAAGACCTGAAAATACAAGATTTCCCTTCTGAACTCTTTCCCCACCAGCATCCCCACCTTGTGTGTCAGGTCTCTGATGGGAAAAGTCAGGATTTCTATGGGCAGATACAGCTTTCAGCAGCAGTACCCTAGGGAGGGGAATATTCAGCGTGAGCCCTCCCCTCAAGGGCACACGCTGCACAACTTGGACACAGCCCCTTTTCCACTCAGTGGCTTCTGCCCTACCACATTTCCTCCATTATTCATTTAGACAAGGGCATTCTGTTGCTGGTGGGTCTAGGTCAGATCTTGGGACAGGAAAAGGGCAACTTAGAGCCACAGTTCTCTACCATAGTCTCAGAGTTCCATGTAGAAGTGTGAAAGAGGTCTGAGAGCCACTATGGTAACTTTATGTAAGTAGATTATAATGTGCAATGTGTATTGTATGTGTATCTTTAAGTTAAAATGTTGCCATCCTCAAGATTTTTAATCTCTGTTTTTAGCCACAATTATCACACAATTATCCTGGAACTCATCTCTTATCAGTAGTCCCAATGAGTTGGAAACCCTTCCAGGCAGTGTCACAATGGCCTCACATTCCAGTGTTGCCAAGGCAGCTAGTACCAGCTTGTGAAGTACTTGGCTCGTGCATGAGTGCCTGTGATTGTGAACCTTTATCTGGATAAACAGACTCCCCTGGAGGTGTTAGTAAGGGAGATTACTTGCAGAGACTAAAACCAGGGTGTGTTCAGATCAGGCTCCTGGAAAGTCTACCCCCTTCCCTGATAAACTCCATTATTATCAAGGTGAGGAAAGAGAAGTTACTGAGGCAAGGACTTTTAAAACAAAATATGATACTCCTCTGATTGCAAACATACTGCTTCCTCTGACTCTATACTTAAAAAGATTGTCAGATCTCCACATTCATTCACTCTGCCATCATTCCATTAGTGGAGTTTAATGTCTCTTTAAAAAGAGAGAGAGAGAGAGCTGCCCTGCAGGTGCGCATCCACCGGCACCACAGACGCGGCTGCTGTGCTGCACCTGTGACGCCAGGGCAGAGAGGAAGAGGCTATTTCTACGCTCAGTGCCCAGAACAGTGGGCACTAAGAATGGTTTGTAGCCTGACAGCCCTTGGGGAAAAAAAAAAAAAGAGAGAGAGAGAGAGAGAGAGATTTTATTTATTTATTTTTATTGAGAAGGGAAGGGAGGGAAAAAGAGGGAGAGAAACATCTATGTGAGAGAGAAATCTCAATTGGTTGCCTGTTGTATGCGCCTAGACAGGGGACTGTGTGCACCCCAACTGGGGACTGAACTGGCAACCCAGGCATGTGCCCTGACCAGGAATCACATCCCTGACCTTTTGCTTTGTGGGACAACGCCCAACCAAACGAGCCAATCCTGTCAAGGCAGCTAATGTCTCTTAACAGAACAGTAACAATAGCTGATATTTAATACCTATTGTATCCTAGGCAGTGTGATAACCTCATAAAAACATCTGATTAATGCTTGTTTGAAAAATAACACAAATGGATTCATTTCAAAATGGACTCATTTCAAAATGGAGTCAGAGCTGCCACCCCAGAGGAACTGCCTTACGTGTCTTACTCCCCAAACTTTTTTAATGTTTAAACTGGGCAAGATTGCCTTTGGACTGGGCCTAGAGAAGCATTTGTCTTCCAAAGAAATGTTTGCAAACTTAGCAGGAAAGCAGACATTCTAAGTACAGGACTGAAAATTAAAGACATTATTTACAATTAGCACTACCATGTGTAGCTAAAGAATAACTTACGTGTGGAACAATTTAACTTATGTGTAGAAATTCCTATCTAGACTTACTAATAGAATTTCTTTCCTTCTATTCCCTTTCTCATATAAACCCTTGCCTTCACCCCTAATTAGAACAGCATTTGTGTTTCTGCCTGAATCAGCACCCCCAAATGGTTATTCTTCTGGATCTCAAATAAATGCTGGTTTCCTTTCCCTTTGGCCTTTTATTTTCAGGTTAACACAACCCCATCAATTAGTAGCCTCAGCCTTGTATTTGTAATTACAAATAGGGAAACTGAGGCTTAGAGGTTAGGTGACTTGCCCAGTACTGTGGATTTCTTCTCCTCCACTAAGTGGCTCAACCGTAGAAATCTGTAGGGCAGTGTGGGGAAAATTTGTGTTTATATGGAACATTACATGCTATCCAGAGCTCACCCTTGAGGGGTGCTTTCTAGCTCTAAGGTTATTGAGAACTGACATTCCTGGAATCCAGATAAATGCCTGCTGCTTTGCTCCTTTGAATTGGATCTAACACCTGCCTAGTTCCATCACCTAAACTGTGAGCTAAACATTAACACTTGTTCATTTTATGTACGTAGTAGTTCTGATTTTACCTTTCCTTTGAAAATTGTCCCTTCACAGTGAAAAAAGGGGAAGAAACCCACCTTTCACCCCTTTCAGTGGCACTCTTAGTCTTGGCACAGTTACACATTGGCCAGCTCCAGTTGCCTCTGCATGAAACTGTGCTAAACTCCCACTTGGCTCACCCAGCCAGTTCCATGCACCCACAGGCCTGTTTTCTGTCTCTCCCTTTTGCTTCATTGACGCTGCAGTGGATAAAGAAGGTGCATTTTATATATGCAATGTACATTGCCCAGGCATACAGAATTAGCTTCAAGTCTCAGAGCCTAGAATTGGACCTAATCTGTCTGTCTCCAAAGTCTGTGCTATTAGCTACTACATGATACTGTCTCTCACAAACACCCACAAAATGCAAAGCTATTTATTTCAGTCTCTTCTACTTAAAAGAGCACTCTCCCAAAAGATTTTCCATCATGATTTTTATGTGTTAACATTCAAAAGAAAACCTCAAAGGTATTTGAATGGTCTTATACAATTTTAAAAATTCCAATCAGTTTTATAGCATCTGTGGGAATGAAATAGAGGATATAGGTTTTTCTGCTACCCTTTCGTTCTATAGGAGGGACACTGAGGTTCTGAGAAATGAGGTCTGGATAACAAAGCACTGTGGCCAGACATTGCCAGGAGTCCTCATGCTTCACCTGAACCAACCTCTGAAAGGTAATTTTGAGTTCAACCAAAGAGGAGAGTTGGAAAAATTATGCATTATGGGAGAGCTCACTTTCCATGTCTCACTCCTACAGTGTACATTGTGATGCAGTCTGGCCATGGGATTTCAGAAAATATTGTTATGGGAAGGCTGCCCCTGATTGCATCGTACAATTTGTCCTTACAGTTATAAGGTCTGTCCAGAAAGTACCTAGCTATAAAAATATGAAAAATAGAGATATTTATTGAAGAACATACAAGAAACATTGTGCATAGGACAATGATGTCTCAGTCCCCTTTAACGTAGGCGCCTTGGGACCACACACAGTTCTCCCAAAGGCTCTTCCACTGTTCAAAACTCTCTGCAAATTCCTTTGTTGGAATCACCATTGGCTGCCATGTTGTATTTTCTTGAATTTCATCGATGGCCTGAAATCTCTTCCCTTTCAAAGGTGATTTCAGTTTTGGGAAAAGCCAGAAGTTGCAGGGCACCAAATCTGAGCTGTAGGGGGGCTGAATCACCTGGGTAATTTGATGTTTCACCAAAAAATTCTGCACAAAGACATGATGCATGAGTGGGCATGTTGTCATGATGAAGCTGCCAATCAACAGTTGCCTGCAGCTTTGGCCATTTTCATCCTATTGCATTGTTCAACCAACAAAGAACATTGAGGTAGTACTCCTTATTAATTGTTTGGCCTGGAGGGGTGTATTTGTGAAACATCTTCCCAATGAAAAAACACAGTTAACATGGTCTTGATCTTGCTATGATTTTTCCATGCCTTTGCCATGCCTTCTTCAGGTGTGGAGAACCAGGCAACTTCCATTGGGATGACTGGCCCTTCATTCCCGGGTCACAGCTGTAGATCCACAATTCACCTCTGGTTATCTTCTTGGCAAAATATGGATCCTTGGTAGC